AATACTATCCTACAGGCAGAGGCCATGTGGGATCCCGTATCATTCTCTACCCTTGGACCAACCATAGGCTCCACTCAGTCTCCCAGAGCTCACTGCTGCTCCTTAGGACTGAAATCTCTTAAGAAGACTATACCTGGGAGCTGGTGCTCCCGTCCCTGCCAACTGTCTGACTCCGAGTCTATGAGTTATGAGGATTTGAGTCTTGGCCAAGCCTGAGCCTCTGGCCTGCACCCTTCTGGTCCTTTCCCTTTAAGGGCTGGGACATCAGAATCCATCTCCTGAGTTCCAAATACACCTTCATAGGATTTTAAGAGCCACCCAACCCTGCCTTCTGCCCCTGTGCAGAACCATTATAGCTGACCTCCACAAGGCCCCGAGGGCTGTCCTCCATTCTGGGCTCTCCCCAGGCCCCTCTTGGGAAGGCTCTCGGCATTTGACTTGAAGCCTGTTAGTCTCTGCAGGCTGCCTGCGGGTGGGGGCAGGAGGCAGGGTTCAAAAAATTGATAAGCAAACAGGAACCTTCCAGCCTCCTCCCCCTCTCTTATTTAGAGCCTTCACTAGAGGGAAGGAAAGGCTCTATCACCTTCCCGCCAGTGATGATGGCTGAAAAACCTTTCAATTAATTGGGCTGGGGGGCAGGTAGGCTGGGAAAGGATGCTGGCTCCTTGACCTGGGCCTCAGGAAGGAGGGGCCAGTCCCTGGCCAGAACTGGAATGCCGAAAAGGGAAGATGTATCAGCGGAGAGATCCTTGCTTGACAGCTGTGGGACTTGCTGCTATGGCTGGAACCCCTCAAAACAACTAGAGTCCAAACCGGGAAGATGGAGAGGATATTGCATGGCTCCTGTCACCCCAAAGTGGCTGAGCCCCACTCCAAGCCCCAGTAGGGAAAGGGGAAGGGCAAACGGCTTTGATGTCAGGCTCTCCAGCTCTGGGTGGGCAGGGACGACCTCAGCTCTCAGAGACCAATGAAGGGCCTTATTTGAGGGGCTTGCCAGCCCATCAGTGTCATTCTGGGAACAAACGTTGCCCTCTTTTCCTGTTCTTGTGCTATCCCTTTATTCCTGGTAAGGGGAACCACTGTGGCTGCCACTTTAGTGTAGCTAGTGCCCAGAAAGGGGCTCTTTTCTGACTTCAAGATGCAGCTCTGGGGCCCCGAGAAGGAAGGTGGAGAAAAGGAGACGATGGAGGGAAAGAGGCTTGAGGATTTAGGAATTTCCAGCTGTGGCTATTTCACAACCTTGTTTAAGCCTGCTGGTTATCAGAGTCTTGGAGGAATGGGATAGGGCAAGAGCAAGCAGAGTCTCCGATGGGAGAAGTAGACTGGGAATTGACAGGAAACCCAGAATCTGGTGTTACCCCAAGCCTGTAACTCATTTTCTCCTCATCCCCACAGCCCGGAGTGGTGAAGTCTGGTGCAGGGATTCCTAGCACCACCAGGGGGCAGCACCTACCCATCCAGAGTAGGCTGGCACAGGGCAGGCTGGGAAGGGGGCTCTCTACTCCGTCCTGGGTTCTGTACTTTGGGGAAATAGCATGACTTCATACATGCAGAGCTAATGGAGAGGAGCCTTATGATGCCAGCTTCAACGTTTTTAAGCCCCCAGAAGATTCCAGAAAGGCCAGGTGACAGGTTAGTTCAGAGCTCTAGGATAAAGCCTTCAGCAAGTGGAGGGGATGTATCTGGAGGCCTCTGGCTGAGCTCCCATCTTTAGGAGCTGGTCAGTGCACTGAGTCAGGGACCCTCCCAACCCCTCACTACCCTCAACCCCCCGGCACCTGGACTCCCTCCCTCTCCCAGGCTGGGCCCTCTGTTTTCTCTGACTCTTCCTGGGTTCCCCTACCCCTACCCCAACTTTTTGATTCTACACCCCTCCCTCCAGGCCTTCTATTTGCCTGGTAGCTTTCTCCCTCCACCCATCTCCCCACATGCTTGTCACCATCCACAAACACTGCAGAATGCTAGAACCAAGAGTGCAAAGATTTGCTGGGATCTGGTGGGGGCAGGGGTGGGGAGGGCTATTTTATTCCTTGACTTCCAGTGCCTGAACCGCTTCTGGTACACAGTAGGTACTCAAGAAATATTTACTGGATGAATAAATGACTCGGCTATGGGATGCTAGGATTGTTCCCCCCCGCCCCATTACTCCCATCCCACTCCCATCAGTTTCTCTCTCTTCTTAGAATGACTGAACTCAGCCAGCCTGAAAAATGCAAGTGGGAGAGACCCCCTCTGCCAGGACACACCCAGACAGCATGTTAAAGCCATTCATCGCGGTCAGTTCTTTTAAAGTCCTTGCTATGACTCTTCCTTTCTCACTCCAGCTTCTGTTCAGTCCTGGGTCTCCTCTTCCCAGTCACACTTGGGATATTTTTTCTTTGCTGCAGCAAAATCAAAGCCAGCCAAACTCTGAAATGCAGACATTAGGGACCGGACACATAAGAGGTGCTGGCAAATGTGTGTTTCTGGCCACAGGCCAAGATGGTACCCACCTTCCCTGCATATTAGTACAGATCATCAAAGACCACGATCCTTCTGGTTTTCTGACCTCATTAATGATACTTTTGCAGACAACCCTTGGCATCTGCATTGAGCTTTTAACTTTTCCTAGGAGCACACCCAAGCCCTTGTCTTGTTTTCCGAATAACCGGGTACTGCCTGATCTGGAAGTTGGGTGGTGCACAGGTGTCCAGACCAAGTGTCCATCGCCTTGCAGTTTGGCCTTAAAATCCTCCTTACGTCACCCGGATGGACATGGAGGCTGCCTCAAGCTGTAAGGAAAAAATGAGTGTTAACATAAAGATGTCGAAGAGGCTCTGGACTCAAAAGCAAATAAAAACACATGAATCTGGAAATTGCTCTTGGGATGAGGCCAGTAACATCCGGCTGGAGCCTAATGTTTTGGGTATGGCAGCTTCTCAATCACTTAGCAAAGAGGTTCTCAGAGGCAGGCACTGTGGGAGCTATCAAGATGAAAAAGCAGCAGGGTCTGGAAGACCTCAGGGTCAGAGGGGAGATGAGACAAATTGCAATGAGTAAAGCAACACAGAATCAGGAGGGGGTCGCAAGGCAGGCACGGGGGCACTATCTAGGTGCTTCCAGGGCATGGAGGAGCCACGCCTTTAACCTAATGATCTTTCAGGACGACACACTCCATACCCATGGGTGCCAGAGCTCAGGTTTTCTTCCGCCCAGACCAGGAGCCAATTCTCTCCGCAAGGCCCCCAGGTCTCACATTCCACGGTGACAGAGACAGTACCAAGGCCACAGGCATCTTGGGCCTAGCTGGGCCTCGGAGGCGCAAGATGGGGGCGGGGTGGTCAGGAAGTCCCAACAGGGTGTCTGGGACAGGAGAGGGCAGCCTCTTCCTCGCGACACCGTCTCTCCACTCCCTTTCTTCCCCGTTCTCCAGTCCGTCGCAATGAAACCGCAACAATAGTGGGCAGGGGGAGACCAAAGCAGCCAGAAGGGACGGGCGGGGGTTAGAGGTCAGAAGCCGCGAGCGCTTGGGTGTCACCGAGGCTGCAGTGGGAGGAGCTGTGGGGCCGGGGGTAGGCGGGGAGCCGGGCCGATGGGGGCGGGGGGTGGGGGGAGGACGGTGGCGGAGGCGCGCAGGGGCGGCGCGCCAGGCTGGGCGCTGGCGGCGGGGGGGTTACGCGCCTCGGCTCGGCTCGGCTCGGCTCCGCGGAGGAAGGCTGAGCTCTGCGGCCGCCGGGCCCTGCAGCGAGCCCGGTCGGCCCCGCGCCGCGCCCCGCCCACCCCACCCCGCGGAGGGCGCGCCCGGGCGAGGCTGGGCCGGGAGGAAAAGGCGCCAGCGAAGAGTAGCATCCGCTACCATCGCCGGAGGGAGATCGAGAGCCCCCCTTAAGCCCCAGCCTACCGGCGCCAAGGCTCCTCTACCCTTAGGCCACCTTTCGCCCACCTCCTGTCGCGAGCCAAGGCCGGCACCCCGCCCGGAGATGGGCAGACGCGCGGATGGCGTGGTTCCCAGCGCCGCCAGATCGCAGGAGCCCGGCGCTGGGGCGCTGCGCTGAAGCTCCCGATCGGCGCAGCCTGGGAAGCCTGCAGGTGTCCTTGGCCGCTCGGCCGCCGGAGCCCAGAACCCCGCGCCCCGGAGCGGCTCCGCCCCTCAGGCTCCGCGCTGCGCAGGACGCCCCGTCTGAGGCCCCCCCGCCCCAGCACGGCCCCCGCTGCGCAGCGCCAGCCCAGCGCCGCTCCCAGCCGTTGCTGAGCGGCGGACGCAGGACCGGAGGCTCGCTCCTGCGGGCGCGCTTGTTTTCCTGGGGCCGCTTCGCCCTGCGCAGCCCCCGCCTGCCTAAACGCCGCGCTCTGCTCAGCCCCTCCCGCCTTCGGAGCCCTGCGCTGGATTTATGAATGGGGGGAAGAGGCCACATGCCGCCGCCCCCGCCGCGTGTTGACCGCAAGCACCCCGGGCCCGCGGAGCTCCGGCTGCCGTGAGAGCGTTGGCCCGGCCCCGGCAGCCGCTCCGAGAACTTGTTGCTGCTGCGCTGCCGCCGCCGCGGGGAAGCCGGCGGCTCCCGGGAGAGCCGGAGGGTGGCCTGTGTGAGTGTGAGCGCGCGCGCGCGCGCTCCCCGGACCCTCGCAGTGCGCCTGGACTGTGCGCTAACTCGCCTTCTGGGGGTGAAGGGGGGGCGTGTCCAGAGCCCGAGCGTCTGAGTGTCCAGTCCTAGCAGGGGAGGTGTGTGCTTGCCCTTGCCTCCCCGGGCCCCTCGCCCGGGTCCTCGGCTAGCCTTTTTCTTCCCTGCCTCCTCGCCGAAGCTGCCTGCCCAAACCCCAACCACCTGTGCACCCGAGAAACCCAACTCCTCCTGCTCGGCGCCCCGTGGGGGAGGCAGGGGCAGGGCCAAGCCGCAGAGGGGGCCGCCGCCGCCTCCTGCCTCCTGCTCGCCTCCTCCCCCTCCCCCATCTGACGCTGCCTCCTCGGGAAGGGTGTTTAGAGGGCAGCGGCCGCCCCAAGCCGAAGCCCCGCAGCGCTTCTTATGATCAGCTCGGTGTGTGTCTCCTCCTACCGTGGGCGCAAGTCGGGGAACAAGCCTCCGTCCAAAACATGTCTGAAGGAGGAGATGGCCAAGGGCGAGGCGTCGGAGAAGATCATCATCAACGTGGGCGGCACGCGACATGAGACCTACCGCAGCACCCTGCGCACCCTACCGGGCACCCGCCTCGCCTGGCTGGCCGATCCCGACGGCGGGGGCCGGCCCGAATCGGATGGCGGCGGTGCAGGCAGCAGAGGCAGCAGCGGCGGCGGGAGCTGCGAGTTCTTCTTCGACCGGCACCCAGGCGTCTTTGCTTACGTGCTCAACTACTACCGCACCGGCAAGCTGCACTGCCCCGCCGACGTGTGCGGGCCGCTCTTCGAGGAGGAGCTCACCTTCTGGGGCATCGACGAGACCGATGTGGAGCCCTGCTGCTGGATGACCTACCGCCAGCACCGCGACGCCGAGGAGGCGCTCGATATCTTCGAGAGCCCGGACGGAGGCGGTGGTGGCGCGGGGACGGGCGACGAGGCCGGCGACGAGGAGCGCGAGCTGGCCCTGCAGCGCCTGGGGCCCCACGAGGGAGGTGCGGGCCCCGGCGCCGGGTCCGGGGGCTGCCGTGGCTGGCAGCCCCGCATGTGGGCGCTCTTCGAGGATCCCTACTCCTCCCGGGCGGCCAGGGTGAGTGGCAGGAGCCTGGGTCTCCTCTCAGGGGTGCAAGGGGGCCCGTGGCGGTGGGGATAGGGGACGGGAGGGGCCGGCAGAGACTGATTTACCTGGCCTCTCCCTCCCTCCCAATTCCCTCCGACTTCCCTGGGCCCCCAGGGGACTCACAACCCGCCCCCCACTCCCCCCACACAGCCTCTCTCCTGCACGCCTCACCAGGAGATTGCACACACTTGACTTACCACTTGGACCTCGTCCCAGCTGCCTGCTTTGCCGCATCCCCTCAGAGGGAGTGGGGTACCCTTAGCTGAGCTCTTCCACCCCCTTCTTTGTGTGCAGGCTGCCTGTCTTCATTGACCCCTCCGCTCTTCCGCAGCGCCAGCGTCCTGGAGAGCTGGAATGAGGCCTCTTGCCTGAGGCAGGCAGGTTTTGGGGGGAAGAAAACGGGGTGTGTTAAGGGCCTACTCTGTGGCAGGCCACCTCCTTTAAATGCTCGTGGTACCTCCGAATGCTGTGAAGTATGAGTTTTGCAAAGGGGATGCCAGCTTCGGCCCGTGACAGACGGAGCTGGGACCAGAACCCAGTCCTCTCATCAAGGTTTCTGGAGAACCCTTTTTTTCAGGGAGATAAGTCAAGATGTCTGCCCCATGCCATGCCCCTAAGGCTTCTGGGTCACCTGGGATGGCCTGGCTTCAGTTGGACAGTGAGGGACTAATGTTCCGGGCGCTGCAGGCTCTTGTGGTCAGTGGCAAGCCACAGGCTGCCTGCGATGATCCCAGATGTGCTGCCACTTCTTTTCTTCCTGCTGCAGCACCGATTGGCTTCCCAGAAAACCCTGGTTCAGGTTACTGCTTGAAATGGGTATATGGGGGGGACAAGAGGGATGACATAGGTTGATCTAGGCAAGGTCTAGTCCCTTCCCACCACCCCCTCCCCAAGTCAGTCCAGTTTCTCCCAACCCCCTTAGGTGAAAGGGGGTGGAGGGACGGAGATCTGCTTGGAGAGCTTTAAAAAAAGAAAATTCCTGAAGGATGGCTTTAAGATTCTTTAAAAAAAGAGAACCCTGGGGGCTGTTGTCTGGCTTCATGGTTGGCAGCCTGAAGCCTGGCTGGGGTCTGTCTGGGAGACAGGAAAGAACAACATGTTTTGGGTGTGGGGTTCGGATCTTGCTGTGGAAGCTGGTCCTCACTTCTGGCATCCCCAGTTGTCCTGTTAATGAGTCTCAGAGCCCTGTCACCCTCCCCAGCACCTCCTGGGCTGGGCCTCAGCCTTGTCATGGAATGAAAAGTTCCACTTCCCCACCCAGGGGAGGATGGGAGACCGAAATGAGACTGCAGGGTGGGCCAGGCTGGCGTCAATGCCAGACCAGCAGAAGCAGCTCCTGCCTGGGAGGAACAGAGGTCCCCGTGGTGGAGGCCTATAAGGCTGGGGCTGCAGGCATCCCCCAGGGAGACCCCTGGTGGGCAGAGAACTTTCTCAGGACTGAGAGTGAAGCCGGCTGGGGGGTGGGGGGTGGTTGGGGAACTGCCTTTGTTTCTTCTCCTGCAGTCATGAGTTACAGTCCTGAGATCAGCTCAGAAGGTGAGGGCCCGGGGCATGGCCTGGCCAGGGTCTGCTGTGAGTTCTGGGGACTTCTCCTGGACCTCACTGACCCTGCTCTTGTCAGCTTGAGGCTATGTGTGCTAGGGGAGAGTGACAAGTGTGGAATTCAGGTTCTTTCCAAATTGGGGGTTAGGGGAGGAGTCTTCATAGACATGGGGGAAGGGGACAAGCCAGGGAGGCAGGAATGCTGTGAGGTGGTTAGGAGAGTTAGGTCCTATTTCTGGGCATTCTGGGGTCTCTGGGGGACTTTTCACGTTCTCTGGTTCTCCTCTTTTGGATTCCAAGGGACTGTTCCATCAGTGAGCTTATGTTCTGCCTGACAAACCCCAGGGCAGGCCAGCCAAGGGGCTCTCTGAGCAAACTCAGCCTAGCTGGCCCTTTCAGTTCCTCCAGGAGCCCAAGATACTTGTCCTCTAGATACGGAATCCCATCAGCCAGCGCCTTCCCATTGTGGTCAGGAGTCCGGGACCAGGCAGGGTTAATTCTCCCCACTGAAGTGATGAAGATACCAGGATTCGGAGGCGTTAGATGTTGTCAAATACAAGTAACCACAAACAGGACACCTTCCCTAGGTTCCAGCTTTCTGGTTGTGAATACTGATGTGAACAGCTGTATGGAGCTTAATGGCACTTGTCCCAAAAGAGGAATTGTCTCCTGCTAAGGAGCACAAGAGGGAGGCAAACCTTCCAGTTCAGCCGTTCCTGGGACAGACACGTGGGAATACATCATCTCAAAAAATTCGTAACTGTTCTTCACTGTACTTTGCATTAAGCTCTAGTGCTCCCAGGAAACTTAGGGGGGAGGTGTCCTCCCCGGGTAGTGGATTGGGGCCTCAGGAGGGTAAAGAGCTTGCCTGAGATGACACAGCCAGATAGTAGCCCGCTGGGAGTCCAGGCCCCCGCTCCTCAGACTGCCACATGTGCTTTCCGTCATACGTGCTGTTCTTCAGATGGAGAGCTGGCTTGTTCCTTATTCTGGCCTGGAAGGTGTTCTGAGGTTCTGGGGCTGTGCCCTCCCTGCTTAACTCTGTTACCCACAGGCCGGTACCATGGCCGCTCCAGCAGCGGCCCCTGGGTCTGTGGGCGTATCTCCCCTCCTCGGGGCCCGGGGCATTCACTGGAGGTGGGAGGGCAGTGGAGCAGCGCTCTGCCCCCGGCGTCTCTCTGCACTTGGCAGCTGGTCATCTGAGGAGTACGCCAACAACGCCATGACAGGAGCAAAACAGATACAAATGGAAAGTGGACTGAGTGGAGCCTGTTGCCTCGCTCCTGGCCTGGCCTGCAGAGCCATTCCTCATCAGGCAGGCTCCAGGCAGGCCAGGGTGCTCAGCCCTGCTCCCCTCACTGGGGCTGGGCCCATGACAGCCGCTGCAGAGCTTCCGTTTCCGTGGCCTGGCAGCCGGCACGATGAACTGGCTGATCCAGTCCCCAGTCCCCACCTGCCCAGGGCCCTTTGTCCCAGGCTCTGCCGCAGCCTGGTGGCTTCCCAGACTCAGGAGGACCGGTGGGGGTTTGGGCAGTATTGAGAGTGCTAAAATAGGCCTTCCTTTTTTCCTGAGGGCAGACAGGAGGCCTGAGGAATGGAACCCCGGGATACTCCTGTCTCTCACCCCCAACCTCTTGATGACCCGGGAGTGAGACTGGCTTTGCCTCAGTTATCAGCTCTGTTGAGAAGGATAGTCATCTCCTGTGGCTAAATCCATACCTGGGTTAGTTTTCCCATAACGTTTCCCTTCTGAGTAGAGGATGTGACCCAAGGGTCCCTGTTGCCCCAGAGAGGCAGCTGGAGCTGGGTTTTCACCTGGATTCAGCCCCCACGCATGTCAGGGGCTGTCACCCCTGCTTTCAAATCTCATATGTCCCATGTGAGGCAGGATCATTCACCTTAGTCTACAGTGAAGGAAACTGAGGCCCACAGGGACTTGTCCAAGGTCACACAGCTGGCCATAGAACTAGGCTCCAAACCCAGATCTGGTGAACCCATGTCTGTGTTTGTACCACATCTGCAGAAGGCCTCTGACTTCTGCGGGCCCCAGAGGGGGCCTTCTCTCCTCTCACCTGTCCCCTCACTTCTCCCTCCAGACTAAAGCTCCCATCCCCTCACTCCTTAGAATTGCTTGCCTCTGATCTTGCTCTCTATTTTTTTTCTCACTGTGGGACTTCAATAAAAAGAAAGGGGACTTAGTTCTGAGAGGAGACTAGGTGTCCCCTGGCCCAGGCAGGGGAACGAAACAGGGCTTCTTGGAAAGAAATGCAGAGCTCTGTTCCTGCTCCTCCCTTCAGAAGACCCCCTGCCTCTCTGGCCCGGACATTGCCTGGGACTAGCCGGTCGGTGGGCGGGACCCTCTGGTTCCTCCTGGGAGGCTGGCTGCCCTGTCTTCCCCAGCCCTCTAGGAAGGGAGTGCCAGCCTGCGCCTTCTGGGGAGCAGGAGGGGTGTCAGGCCAAGTCTGCAGGCCTGAGGCAGCCTCCCAGTCTCCTCCTGGGTTTGTTTTGTGTTTTTCTTTTCTGTTCTCAACAGACCAACATTTGCCTCTGAACATCTTGTCTCCGGATAATGAGGTGTTTTCTCTTTGTCACCATTTGGGGTGGGGTGTTAAGTGGGGGAGGGGCTAAAATAAACTTGGGCTATTTTGGGACAATGGGGGAAGAACAGGCAGGAACAGAGCCAGGCAATTGGGGCTGGGGAATGGGGAGTCCCCAGGCCCCTGGCGTCCACCCGTGGACAGTGCTGTCTTGACATGCTGGGCACCAGCCAGCCCACCACAACCTTTGGCCCAGCTCCCCGCTAGGTTGCTTTTTTTTTTTTTTTTCAGGCTGGGTGATAGTGACCCAGCCCCTGGCACAGGGCTCCATCAGGCAGTGGTCTTGGCCGACCCTGGAAAGCCACAGAGTCTGAGAGCCCACGTGCTTAAAGGTAGTGCTGGGCATACCTGTCACCTCTAGCCCCAGTTAGTGGGGCTGACCATGTCTCCTCATGACAGGCTCCAGGAGAGGAAGCAGGCAGTCACCTTGGCTCCAGGCATTCAGGAAACATTTATTGAGTACTTACTACATGCCAGACACCAGGCTGGGCCCTATAAATATAAAGATGAGTCAGACGTGGTCCCTGTTCCTGAAGAGAGCTAGGTCAGGGGGAGTAGATGGCAGCTGAGGAAAATTAGGTGATGAGGAATAGTAATAATAATGCAAGAAAGATCATGAGAGGTGCCACAGGAGTCTTAAAAAATGAAGTCCAAGAGGTGCGAGGAGAAAGCGATAAATCCCGGTCCTGTGTGAGGTGAGGCAAGGCGGGGGAGAGCGTTGGCAGGCGGGGAAGCTTCCCTGAGGAAGCAGAAGATAAGCTGGATAGGCCCTGCAGGATAATGACTTAGCTCCCTTAAATAATTTTTAGAAGGAGGCAGGCTATAAATAAA